CCTCCGCGCCCCCAGCATCCCCTCCGGGCCCCCAGCATCCCCCTGGGCCCCCAGCATTCCCCGGGACCCCACCTTTGGCCCCGGGGCCTCTCTGTCAGAACAGGAGAGGTTCTCATCGCGGCAGCAGTAGCAGGCGGGACTGAGCCGGGAGAGGGTCGGGAGGACTCTAGCACAGGCCCGACCGCAGACTGGGGGCGCCGCTTACCTGTGTCACTGGGGCGGTGCGAAGACGGCCACACTCGGGTCTGGCGCTGCTTCCGACGCCGGACAGACCAGCCAGCCGCTCCAGAGGCGCTGTGGGACGCTCCCGCGCCTGCGCAGAACGAGGGCCGCAGGCTGCTATGCGCGTGCGTCCAGGGCCAGGCGCGCCGGGATTCGTACTCCGGCAGGAACTCTGGCCGCATTCTCTCGATTCCGCTCGGCCGCGCCAGGCCGACCGCAAGCTCCGAGAGCCTGTGCCGCGCGGTTCTCGCTCCGGCTGGCACGGAGGCTGGGGAGCAGCCTGTGCCCGCTCCAGCGCCTGCTCCGGAAGCAGTTGTAGCAAGTACTTCCTTTTCATCTCTCCGTTTGAAGAGCAGGGAAGTTGGAGGCCGGAGGCGGGTCCCGGGCCCACGCCCCTCGCCGGGCTGCGGCGTCCCCGGGACCCGGGCGTCCCCCGCCGCCCTGTCGTCCAGCGCGGGCGCCGAGCCGGGCCGGGGATGGACAGGGAGACGCGCGCGTTCGCCGAGAGCCACTTCCGACGCCTCCGCGGACGGCCCGCGGGCGGGGTGGGCGCGACGCCGGGCCGCGTGGACTTCATCGAGAGCCCGGACTCCTTTTCCTACGCCGACTTCTTCAAGGGCTACCTGCTGCCCAACGTGCCGTGCGTTTTCTCCAGCTCCTTCACCGAGGGCTGGGGCAGCCGCAGGCGCTGGGTGACGCCGGGCGGGAAGCCGGCCTTCGAGCACCTGCTGCGGAACTACGGTAAGTGCGGAGCGCGCGCGAGGAGCCAGGGCTGGGGGGCCGCAGCCGTCCGGGGGAGGGCGCGCAACGTCCGACGGCCTCTCGTTTCAGGAGACGTGGTCGTCCCTGTGGCCAACTGCGGGGTCCGGGAGTACAATTCCAACCCCAAGGAGCACATGCTCCTCCGAGACTACATCAGCTACTGGAAAGACTACATCCAGGGGGGCTACTCCTCTCCGCGCGGCTGCCTCTACCTCAAGGACTGGCACCTGTGCAGGTAAAGGGGGCGGAGCGCACAAAGCAGCGTGTCGTTTCCCCGGGTAGGAGTTGCAGTGCGCGCACGAATCTGGCTCCCGCAGCGTGGTTGGAGGTTCTCCCCATCGCCGGGCTAGCCACGCTGCGTCAGGTGGGAACCCAGGTGGGCCGAGGCCGCCTCTCCCGTGTGTCCTGGCTGCTGGAGCCATCCTTGCGGGCTGCACGCCCTCTGACGGGTCGTACCTAGCTGTGCCTTTCCTGTCCGCTGCCCGCTGTTCCAGCTCAGGCCAGGTCTCACTCACCCTGGCTGCCCCAAGTCCCGCTCCACCCTGCTCAGCTCACTCACATTCTCAGCCGTCTTCCCAGCAAGGCTGTGCCCGAGCTGTGTAGCATCTCCGTCACGGACCAGCGGCTCTCCTGCCCTGTCCAAGGAGGCCTTCTGTGGTTCGACCACACCCTTCTTCCACCCTGGGAGCTCCAACGAGGGGCCTCAGGGACATATCTCACACTCGTGGGCAGCCACACCCCGTCTGCTTGGTTCCCTTGCTCAGAGGGGGTCCTTGGGTTGTGTCCATTCCCCTACCCAGCAGTGTGCTGGTCACAGGCAGAGACCATCCTCCTCACACCCTAACCAGCTGGTATAGGGCACAGTACGGGCTTGAAGAGTTTTGTATAAATGAGTGAACGATTGAATTCTTGTTTTGCTGATGTGGAAACTAGGGATATTACAGTGAGTCACTCGCTTGCGATTCCCAAGACCCATCCAAGAGCGTCTCGCACCGGCATGCCGTGGATGCTCCCAGCCTCACAGCGTTTTGTCTGGCAGTGAGAGCTCGCCCCAGGGGGTGGACCAGGGACACCCAGACCCTGGTTGTGGCCCCCAGGGACTCTTGATCCAGCAGCACATAGGACTCCTAGACCCAGTGCTCCTGCACGGTGGGCGTGGGCTTCAAATAGGCAACAAGTGTGTTCTAGGTGTTACACGGGACGTTCCTGTCCGTCGTTTGAAGGTCAGTTTTGACTGAATATTACATATTTTCCCTGGAAACCCCAGAACAAACAGAGCAGAGGGAGGCCAGACAGGCAGAGACGGCTCCAGGGGCCGTGATACCTGATTTGAGGGATAAGTGGGAGTCTGACATCCTGCAGAGGCATGGCGTTTTGGGGTACTACACGTGGTTTGGTGCTCCTCGGGCTCTCCCTGATCATGGCCTCTGACCATGAGTGATGTGTGAGCTGCTCAGAAGCTTGTTCCAGTGCGTCGTTGGGAGAGCTCATTCTCTCTGGGGCTGGGTTGGCGTGCTCCTGTGTGTGTGTGTGTGGGGGGGGCATTTTTCTGGTTGCGGGGATCAGGCTTTTGGACCAGGAGGAGTGGGGGGCTGTGGGGTAGGGGAGAAGGACCTCAGTGGACATGGGCCATAGTGCCTGGGCCACTGGTCGGGCATCCACTCGGCAGACTCGAGGTCACTGGCGGGGCGAGAGCGTGGACGAGGCCCACAGGTTCGGGAGAAGAGCGTGATGCAGATGAGGCACTTAGAGCACCAGTTCAACCAGAGGCTGGAATTCCGGATCTGGTGCAGGAGGGGTCTGGAACAGTGGCGGTGCTGCCTGCACGGGTCATCTGAGCGGCATCACAACACCCCCAACGTCGTTTCCTCTGTTTATGACAGGGGTTCGTTCCTCGCCCGGGGCTCAGGTGGGGTTGCTTGGGCCTGTGGTCATGTGGTGGCTGGACTCGCGCAGGGTGGCCAGCCTCACTGTGGATGCTGGCTGCGGAAGGCAGCTCAGCGTCATCCGTGCCCTTCCACACCTCTGGCTGTCTCCTGCTCGGGGCACGGGCCAGAAGGTGGCCGCTCCTGCCCCGGCCCCC